TTGAACCTGCAAACATATGTGTTTTGTAAAATAATTAGGAAAAAGTAGTACAAAATTACATTATAATTTATTCTAACCGAGACCAATGTGTATTCTAAAAGCTGTTTATTTTAGAAATACTTTGGTGGTTCCATTAAAGATGAGAGTATAGCTTGTGTCATCAGTTTTTCCGAGTGTGTGCATGGGGCAGTGTAGCTACTGTGGAAAGAAAAAACAGGTTGTATTTTTGATTCCTGAAGAGCAAGGAACAAAAATCCTCCATTTTAAAATAAGAGGCGTAATATGCCTTTTGCCTTCCAGAAAAACGATATTAAGAGTGTGGTCAGCTGTTTGGCATTGGAAGTAAGACTTTCTGAACATCCACTTTCTCTTTTTGAAACCACAGCTCAATGATGGCTGTAAAGATTAGGATGTGGGGCTCCCCCTCCCCATTTTTTGCCTTTGGTTATTTTGTCCTGGCTTGTGGAAAGAAGTGTGGACAGAAACTAGTGCTCCTGTGGCAAGGAGTCTCGCCCCAGGGCACGGATTTAAAGGCAAAGATGGAACTCCTCAGTAAAGTGCTTGTTGCTTAATTGGTGTGCATGTGCTGGAGAAACCAGAAAAGGTTACCTTCCCCCAGCTCCCCTTTCTCATTTTGGGCTGGCAACTCTGTCCCCTCTCTCTGACAGTTTAGGGTGTCCCCCACCCCCTTCTGCTCTCCAGAAAGTAATTCTTATTTTTAATTCCAGGAAAGTTGGAGTTACGTTGCAGGTTCCAAGTTCAACTGTGGTTTTAAATAGTACTGACAATTGGAAAAGTTTCCTTAATTGTAGAGATCTGAGTAGCTTCTACTTTCTATTTGCAGTAGCAGTGTATTGGCACAGATTTCCTCAATCTTTCAAAGCCCAGCTTCCCACATTTATTTATCTTGTCACCTCCTTCTTGTATATTTTGTGGAGAGGGGGGAGCAGGAAGTGATTGTATTGCTAATCATCTTCCAGTTTTTCCTTGATAGTTCTTCAGAAAAAAAATTATTCCAACTTTGCACATAAGTAAATTAACTCTTTTTTTAGTGCCTTTCAGGTGTAGCTATTGAATTGAATGGGAGTGTCTTCTGAATCAGAGAAATATTACAGATAATCTGAACTGACTCTTCTGGACCTGAGAGTTGACTTGGTGGACAGTATTGTGGCCTGTAAGGAGGATGCATTCATTATTGATAATGCCTTTTGAAGATGGCAGGATGTTTACTGTTGTGCTTGATTCGGCTCAGGAGAGGAGTATTGTGTTGCTTGATACTTGGGGGTTGAGCCTTAATAAACACATTTCCGTATTTCTTCTTTTGAGCGAGAGTGCTGGTGTTTGAGCGGGGTCAATTATCTAGTTTCTAGAGGTCTTTGTGACAGCACATGCGTTCCATTTGTTATTAAATAGATTTATACTTGTAATTGTTTTTTCAAATAGTTTTGATAGGGTGCTTATTTTTTTGTGCAAGGGCAAAAAATACTTCTGCTTCGAAAATATGTTCTGGTCCCAAACAATTCCTCATGAGGCATATTGCTTTTTTAGCATATAAAAAGGCTGGTAATATGCCTTTGAAAAGTTAGCTGTCTAAATTTTCTTCTTTTTTTCTTAAATTTTGGATGATTTGTTACATTTGTTAAGCGACAGCAAAAATAGCTATTTTGTTCCTACTAAATATTTTGGACGGAGGGGCATTGTAGGATGATGAAAAATGCATTAGGTTTTGAGATTGGAAGAGAAGTTTGCTGATCAAATAAAGAATCCATTGAGATAGAGAATAATTATTCTTCTTTCTTCTAAAACATTTGTGGGGATTTTCCTCCTCATTTTCTGAGAGCGAGGACACTGTTCTCTAAACTTGCTAATGGGATCACATCAACTTAATATGGAGCATGACATTTGATGATAAAGTTGATTGCTTACACCCGGCTTTGATTGGAGCAAGCTTAGTGGTCATTTGGAATATACTGAGTGCAAACATAGCTTAAACCATTTCATCTTGGCTGCTTCTCAAGTTCAGTTTGGTACAATGCAGCCCTTGTGCTATTGTAAAGCCTTTGAACTGAACATCTCCTCCTGTATTTATCTACTGTGTAAGCACTTGATTTTTTTAGGATTTTAGCCAAACAATTTTTAAAAAGTCAAGAAAATTGGCATATTTAACACTGTTCATTTGTTACTGTGTTATACTTGCATAAGAACTTCAATTTTCACCATTTCCTTCACTAAATTACAGCGGTCCTCAGTTTATCCCAGTGGTTCTGCTGTTGGCCTCCAAAGAGAGTTTAAATCTTCTACCAAAGCCTTTTGTGTGCATCTGAAATGCCATATTCAGTCAGTAACCCAAAACTGAATGTCTTTTTTTATTTCAGAGTTGTAGATGATCTGTTTTCTCCTCCTCTTCTTCCCTGTTCCAAATGAAAAACAAGAGAGCTGAGGACTAAAGATACTAGGTTTAATTTGCTGTGTCCTTGCTTGACTACCTCCAAAATTTGTGGGTATGGTGGCAAGAGTTGAAAGTGCTTTATTGAAGTACTAATTCTTCTGTTGTCTCTTGGTGTGATGCTATTGTAAAATATGCTAGTGCTTTATTCTTTGTGATACAGTAATGGAGGAAGTGGGTAAGGTAAAAGAGAAATTTAAATACAGAAGCAGAAGTTTCTGAGGTGGTACATCATGTCATGAAATTAGAAGGGTAAGAAACATACACAGAAGTCTGCTCCTTTATAAGCAGAAACTTTATTCTGAAATACTGCAAGCTCCTCAAGGAATAGCAGTCTAGTCCGCAGAATGTGAAAGATGTTTGCGAATAAATACAACAATGTAGACCCAAGTAACGACTAAAATACAGGTCTTCAACTTTGCAATAGTAATCCCTACTGTGCACCTAGTAGCATTAGATCTTTTTGTAATAATTATTGATTGCTTTTAACTACAAGGCAGGTTTCCTCAAAGTAATGTTAATCATGAAAATTAAGATTTAAATTCATAAATTTAGGAGAAGAGGAAACGGTCTCAAGTTGCGCCAGGGGAGGTTCAGGTTGGATATTAGGAAGAACTTCTTCACTGTAAGAGCTGTTAAGCATTGGAACGGGCTCCCCAGGGAGGTGGTGGACTCGCCATCCCTGGAGGTGTTCAAAAAATGTTTAGATGTAGCACTTTGAGACAAGGTTTAGTGGGCATGGTGGCGTTGGGTATATGGTTGGACTTCATGATCTTTGAGGTCTCTTCCAACCGTTATGATTCTATAGTCCCAACTGGAAAATCAAAAAATCTGACTTCAGATTGTCTCGTTAAATGCACTTTCGCCGTACTTCATTGTCAGCTGTAATTTGTGCGTTATGAGGCTAAGTACTGTGTTCTGCACAAGTCTGACTATTATGCTTTTTTTTTTTCTTTTGCAGCTCCAGATAAAAGCCTTTGCTTCTACTCAAATCCTTGAAAAATAAAGTCAGTTGTTAGCATTCTGAAGGTTTTACTGTGGTAGGCTCATGTGCTGTGAATTGCTGGTTCAGGAACTGTAGAAATGTTCCCCCTTGACTGCCCTGCTGATAGCTTGATTCAGTTGTTACGACTGATTCCAGCTGGGCAGCACAGACTACATTTATGCTGTTGACTTTGGGGAAGTCTGTAGGTTCAAATTTGTGTTGAGAAGCTCTTGAATCAATGCTATGCTGCTCGGAAGGCCAATTTTAAGTTGATGATTCCCTTCACCTATACTATTTTTTTTCCTTGAATGTATGTACAAATATCGGTTAAAAAAAAGCACAACACAAAATAGCTTTTCTTCTCCCTATGCCTCTTAAAAATGTCTAGTTTACAGTAACTGAACCAGATGCTGGCTAAGTCCACAGTTACCATTAGAAATATAATAGCTATTAATCTTTTGGACCTCTTATTCTCCTGTTTCCCCAATTGTCATTGAGTATTTGTCCAAAAAATACTTCTTTGCAGCTGGAAGGCTTCTATGTGATCTTCCTGTTAGCCCTGTAGTGGATTGCTGGTACACAAAATAAGAGGCTGTCAGCGAAGTGAAAAGTAGGGAGGAGGTGGAGGAAATATTGAAATTGCTTGGTTTTCATTTTGTTTTAGCTGTTCTTTCTCAGTAGCTTCATCAGCTCAGAGGGTGCTCTGAGATTTGCCCTGTAATTATTTTTTATTTAATAGGTAGACACACTGCTTTAAAAACATGTAGTTTAGTATGCGTATACCTATGCAGCTTATATAAAACTGTCAGTACTCCTAGGAATGTAATCTGAAGAGAAAAATATTTTTACATACTTTGTTTTTTCCCATAGTGCTGAGAGTACGTCTGGGTTGAAATTCAGTGAGTAGCATCTGCTATTGACTGCTGTGAATGGTGCTTGGGAACGTGATCAGTGTAAATACTGGTGTTACCACAAGGGTAGGCTGACCATACCTACGTGCCTCGTAGGACAAGGAGTTCGATTTGGTTGTCAACTTAGGCTCCTGTTACACAAGGAGGGTACTTTTTTCTAAGTTGAGAGCAGTATTTTGCTGCCTTGCATCTGACAAAGAAATTTCCATTTGCTTTGATGCTTTGTTAGAATTTTCTTAAAAGAGAAATTATTTGGGCACTTTTTTGACCATTTGGTGGGCTTAAAAACAGTGTGGTGATGAGCAGCATTAGTTTTCAAGCTTGAACTTTGGCTTTTTGCTGAGATGCATAAACAATTAGATGAGTGTTTTATTATTTGAATTGTGGTGTGCCTTTTGTATAACTGGCAAAAGACTCTAACCAGCTTTCCTTCAAGCGTTTAAGTAAAAGTCTGCTGAATTGATGGGAAATGACCATTGCTGTATTAGGAAAAATACTGCAGAACAATGTGCAATTATTCTGTGACAATTTGTATCTGTTAGCAAATAGGACCAGAGGCATGTCATCTACAAGTAAAACTAACCAGCACCATTTGGAGTAAATGTAGATGCTGTTTTTGTAGCACCAGTAACACCTTTTTTTTTTTTTTCCCCTGTAGGTTCTTGATTGTTACAGACCATTTGCTGAAATGTCCAGAGTTGGTAAAAGCCCTCTATGCCAAACTGAGCAATCAAGAAAGGTAACCCCAAAACCCAATGTGGCTTTTAGTATTTAGCATTCCATATAGAGTATCCTGTTCACATGATTGAAAAACTGTGTGGTTTCATAGTTGGCACAAAATCTCTAAATACATGTTTCTATGTCAGTAATGGTTTTAAATTGGTTGGTTAACATTACAGCTTAGCCACAACTGGCAGTGATTTATGTAGGGTTGCAGAATCCAGGTTGGCGCCATTACTCAGTAAAGAAATACTTCAAAAAAAAAAAAAAAGACAAGATTTCATGCCTGTGTCTTGATTTCATAAGAGCACCACACCCTGCTGTGTTTCACAGCTGTATTTGAAATGTCCTCAGCTGCTCATATTTCTGTTGTAATTACAAGAAATTAAAAGGAAGCCTTTACTAAAATTGGAAGTGTATCTAATACTGGTTAACAGAACCTAGAAAACATAGATTGCAGATGCCCGTTATTAACTTAATCTTTTAGTATTTCCACTATTGAAAATACAAACCTTCACTTTGAAAGAAACTAGCTACTTTTCCTTCAAGCATTTGAGTAAATGTATGCTGAATTCATGGGAAATGGTCATTGTTGTAGTTGGGAAAATGCACATTTACAATTGCTTTAATAGAGAATCAAGGAAGATAAAAAATTATTTTGTTAGAATGATCAACTTTGGGAAATCCTGCACTATAATCCTACAGTTCCTCCAACTACTAGAAGATTTTGTGATCTTGTTTAGGTATTCAACATGGCTACTTTGTTCCCCATTTGCCCAGGGAAACTGCAAGTTCCCCCTATAGTTTTTGCAGGTGAAAGACAAGGCAGTAAACAAAGCAGTCCCTTAATGTTTGGGGGTTTCTGCCTGTGTTTTTTGCCGTGATTAAAGGCACGATGTTATTACAAATGGAGATGCAGACACTGCTCAGAGATTATTAAGAAACAAAGAGAATGGCAAGCAGAGTATATGATAGGTTGAGAACCATAGGTAAAAGATCATTAATGTATAGGTATGGAATGGAAAAGAGGGGATGGGAATGATAAGGAAGCAAATACTGTCTTCCTCCTTTGAATGAATATGAGCTGTGGGCTTACTATGCCTGTAGGAGCTCCTTAACCATCTAGCAGGAAAGACTTTTTAGGTGAATGAACTAGATTTACTTCTTTTGCGGGATGTCGTGAATGGCGGTTTGTATGTTTTTGTAATCCCCTTGAGGACAGTCAGGACTGGGTTAGGGTGTTCAATTGTACTTAAAGCAATAGAAGTAATCAGTTTCTAGAAAGGTCTGGGTGGATTTGTTGCACGCGCTGTGCTACAGATGGTGATCAGCTACCTCAATTGAAAGGCTTTTGGTGTAGGCATCATATGGATGATCACACGTGGGATGGCTAGTCACAGCATATTTGCTGCATTCATTATCAATCCCAAGAGTTCTGCAAATCAAGTAAACTTAATTAAGTTTTTGAAAAAAATAATCACAGTGCAGTTTGTTATGAATTTGATACTGCTTAATTTACTGTCAAACATATGGAAGGAAGTGGTGTAGCAATAGTCCTTTTGCATCTGAGCTATAGAAGAAAACCCCACCGTGGCATCTTCCTACATTATATTAGCATATTTAAGAATGCATGCTTTTGAGATATATGAGGAGACAAATCCAATTCAGATAAAAACATTTTGACTGTCATTAACTGGAGAAAAAAGTAACCGTATAAACCAAAGCATAGGGAATTCAGTGTTTCGAAACGAGACAAGGAGCCTTAACCGCAGGAGTTGCCGCATTGGGTGTCCAATAAAGCTGACTAAGTCATATAAATGAAGAAAGGACAGATGTGGTATTGAGGTGTCTGGGGAAAGCAGCTTGAGCTCATGAATATATGGTAACTCTCAGTTACAGTATTCTCCACCATGCACACTAAATACACTTACTTTAAATGTATTTACTGAAATGAAATTAACTATGCTGAGAAAGTTTGCGAATACATACGTTAGTGGTGACTCTTAAAGTTGGCAGTTGCCTTAGATAACCAAAGTATATGCAGTTGCATAACCGCAGTTATTTGCACTATTTGCAGTATTTGCACTATTTGAAGTATTTCCTGTAATTGAAATCTGGTGCATTTGTGATACAGGGGCCATGGTGCATGCCATGAAGTAGTTCTTGATGCAGAAGTGGATCTGGAATCTAAATTTTCAATTAAAATAGAATTCCTGACTTCTAGATAACTAACTTTTTCATTTTCAAACAAATTTATGCACTTTGGTGTTGCATGTCTTGAGTTTGCAAATGGCCTGAAGGAAATACTGTGATAATATGATCAGCTTTTTTAATGGTATTCTGGCTTTGAAAAGTGTATGATGATGTGACAATGTCTGCTGTTTCTCTGCAAGTGATTATTGCAAAGACATATGGTATGGTATGGTATTCAGCCAAAATATTGTAGCTTCTTGAATTCTTTGCCAGATTTGAGATTTCCCTGCATGTATGTGCAAGTATTTGGCAGAAGTATTCAGAAAAAGCCTGTTTTGCTTTTAATCCAAGTTAGCCTTGAGCATGGACGAGGTAAGTTAATACTTTGATAGTCTTAACTACATTGTAACATTTTCAAAATTAATACATCTGTGTTGTCCCTTTTAAGAAGGGGTCTTGCTTGGATTAACAGCAGCAAAAATGCAACTGAATAGCTTCAGGTGTTTTTAAGACTGCTTGCATCTTTAGTTTTGATTTTTGTGTTATTTCATGTGAAGTGTTCTCAGTGAACGATGCAGCCGTTGATGGAAACAGGCACTCAAGTAGTGTAAATGTTGTGGTGGATTTTTGTTCTTGGTAATACTCACAGACACAGAATAGCTGGAGGTAGCATTGGATTGTAGTCCTTCACAATTTTACCGATTTTCGTTTAGTAGGGTGCTTACAAGTACCATTCTAAGATGAACGAATTGAAAATTTTGAGGAAGGACCTAATTTGTCTCATAGAACCCTTGCTGTCAGTGAAGTGTTTCAGGAAGGAGAAGCCCCAATCACAGAGAAAGAATGTCCTGTGTCTGGCACTTGCTAAGAGGTTATAAACCAAGCATGCTTGATACAAAAGTTTAGTGATAATAAAATTGATAGAGTTTTACAGTACTGTTTTTAGACAGGCTTAGCAGGACTTTATTTTGTAATAACGAGCATCCAGATTTAAATTGCACTTCAATGCTGTGGTTTATTTGCAGATTATAGGAGACAGCAACGTGTTTTACTGATGATTGCAAATTCTTTGTAGTAGTTGTTCTAAGTTCTTGCCAGTTTGGTCTGCTTCAGGAAGAAGGGGTTTAAGTTTGGCTGGGGCCGGGGGGAAGGAGAAAATTGACAAAAAGTCTTCCTAAGTGGTGCCTAAAGAAAAGGAAGATAACACGGCATGATTATTTCCAAATAGAAATATAATCATTAATATACAAAATTGTATTTTAGATATTGAACTGTGTTACAAAAATTCATGAAAAGACATGCTAAAATTGGTACTAACAGTTGTCATATCTGTTGTATTTAGCTATAGGCAGACAAGTAGGAACAAACTCTGTCATCTGAAGGGCTAAACAGTTGTGAGAACATTTAAAAGAAATGAGCAAATTGCATTGTGTGGGAGAACTAACTTGGAAAAATTTGGGTGAGTCTTGGAAGAAAACTGAGAGAAACAATAGAAGAAAGGAATGTAAGGGAACGTGCACCAGAACAAAAAGCGTTGCTCGCGGGAACTTGTTGGCTGAATGGCAAGACTTGCTTGAAATTCAGAGGAAAGATGGGCATGTCCTAAATGAGTGTGCCTGGAAAAAAAACGCAGGAAAACAGTTTTGACATGAATACCTAAAGAGAACAGAAAACTTTAAAAGAAATTACATGCGAGTGGTGTTTTAATGTCAGTCCTGTTTCTCTGCAAGGATGATGGTTGTCTGAAAGGGCAGATTATATTGCAAGAGGAAGAGTAACGTAAAAAATTTCCCTAGTGGCAACAATATCATCTCACTAATACAGTTTATGGAAGCATGTAGTGACCCTCCAACTTCTTTACAGGCAGATTGCTTGTCGTTTTAAAATCTATATTTGGATTGTTGGTGCGACAATACCTGACTAGAATTCTGTTATGCAGGAGAAAGTATTTTATTGGAATTAATTTGTGTAATCATAAAGTCTGTGAGCAGCCTGTTTTCCTAGCTGAGCATGCACTTGAAAGGCTCTAAACTTGGTAAAAAATCTAGGCCTGTGTTGGGGATGAATGACACGTCTGTGCACTTAACTTGATTTTTGTATAGTGTGCTAAATCTGAAAGCCTTCGTTCAGTTAGGGATGTTGGGTAACTGGACTCTGGTACTTTGTAGATGAGCAAGTGTGTGGTAGCTAGTTGTAACCTGCAGAACAAACAGAACGACCGTTCGGTGTCGGTGCTGCGTCACATACGTAAGCGAAGCCTGTGAGAGAGGTTACCAGTGTTTGACAGCCTTCTGTCTGGAATCCACCCTTTCCCAAATGTGTTGAGCGTATTTCTGTGCTACCATGTTGAAAAAGCTTTTTGTCCTTATTCAGATAATTGTTTAATGCAGCTGTATTAGTGACATTGAGAGTTGAGTTTAGCAAGAACTAAGTAGCTGTTAAGTGATTAATAGGGGTGGGTTCTTGGAGGTTAATAAAGCAGTGACCGTGCTTTTTCCACAGAAAAAGACATTTCTTTTCCCCTTGTGACAACCTGCTTGGTAAATTAAAAAAAAAAAAAAAAAGAAAAAGCATTTGAACTATTCCACATGTTTAAATGTCAGTCCTTCCATCTGAATTGCAAATATTTTAGTGAAAGAAAACCCTGAGCCTGCTCTTGAATTCATTCAATAAATAGCACTCATTCAGGTTGAGAGAATTACAGTGGGACTTCACTAACCCATGTGCTCCTCTGCGCTGGGCTGGAACAGGGGAGCTGTAGGAGGGCCTCTGCCATGGTAAAGTCCTGCTTCCACCAAATACTCCTCATTTACCCTAGCAACGTGAAGGGATATCAGAAATAAAACATCGTTAAAATACATGACCCAAGAACGTTTTATAGAGCAGCTTTGTTATGTATCCACTTACTCAGTGTATTAAACCAGCAAGTAACTCTTACTGGGTATATGCGTAATTAACTTGGATTTACTGTAGTCCATCTAGTGGCACTTATAAAACAGCTGTAAAGAACAGAGTGTGCATATCAATTTTTATTTCCCGTTTCTGCTCAGAATTGGTTTAGGGTTGTGGGGGAGAATTGGTGAAGGACTGCATGCAAGGCAAGGACTGTGAAAAGCTGGTATTTTCAAACGGAAGCTGTCAAATAGTCTGTGTTTATTTTTCCGAACAACAGCTTTTAAGAGCTGTTTTGGTGGAAATTTTGGACATAGGGAATATGCAGTCACAGTAATGTTGTGTTAGGACATAAGAAATTAGAAATTGAAATAGACTTGAGAAAAATATTGACTTGACTGTCTGGCCAGATTGTATTAATTGAATGATGAATTAAATTAATGGTGTGCAGAAATAAACCAGCAAACAGGAACTAATTGTCAGTGTTCATAAGACTTCTTAATTTTTAAAAATCAGCTCTGTTACTAGCATGCTAATTGTTTGTATAATTTTTTTCAACTGTATCTGCTTGTTCTACTGATAATTCTATAGGGCTTGGTGAATTTGCTTAAACAAGTTGTTTTCTGATTCTAGAGTTGCTTTGTTAGAGCTGATGATGGCGAAAGTAAGTGAGAAGAACCCAGTTACCAGTGAAGAAATGAATGTGTTCATGAGTCACGCTGACTTCCTTGCAGGCTGTTTCCAAGAGAAATGTGAGGCTGTGCTCAAGTTAACTTCTCCAGCAGATGCAGAAGATGAGGTATGACTGATAGAAAAACATTACAGTACCAAAGTGTGAAGTGGTGAATCTTCGTTGCCACTATTAACCAAGTGGCACTTCTGTACATTCCCAGTTTATATTGGGAAAGCAGTGGCAGAGTTCACAGTAGAATCTGTAAGACAGCAGCCTGATTTTGCTTTTAATTTGAGGATTATAAAGAATATGGTACTTTGAGATAGAAATAAATCTACCACATTGTTAAAGATCTCAAAATTTAAAAAATGTTCAAGTTGTCACGTTTGGATGTTTTATTATGTTCTTACTAAGGATCACTTCTACAATTTATTTGGATTGTGGATTATATTTTATTCAAATATGATTCAAAACTTAAAATATTTTATTTATAGCAGCATCTCTTCCCACCCCCCCCTTAAAATTGCAATAAAAATGGAGTAAATGCTTTTTTTTTTCCCTAGCAGTACTAAAGTAAATCTTCCTTTTTTTTTTTTTTTAAGCTTAAATAACTGATGTTAACTTAATAGTTACTCCATCATTAAGGTCCCAAATGCTAGTTCTTTGAAAATGCATTTGGCTACTTGTAAGGCAGGTGTTCCTGATCTGTTTGGGACCTGGAACATCAAGTTCTGATCGCAGAGAGCTGTGGGGGCTGTGTGTGTGATTGGCAAGCGAGGGCTTTCGTTACTGACTCTTCCCTGTTTCCCAATGATTGGGGGGTCTCTGGTGGACCCTGCATGGCTCTGACAAGGCAGCAGTCCTGGGGCCAGCTCGTGTTCACAGCATCAAGTTGCAGAGCTTGCTGGGCTCTTGGTGGTAGATGGCTCCTGTCTCCTGAGCACCCAGGCACTTGCCCTAAGTCCAGCCGCTTGGAAGAAATGTGTTATTGCTTCAGACTTAATGAACTGGTTCTGTTGAGGATGGCCACAATGAAGTCCCTTTGCAAGCTAAATAGGAAGGCTTTTATGGGTCACAGATGGTTTGTGGGTTGCACTTTGGGAACCTCTGATGCAGAGCTGAGGCCTGGATGGCTTTATTTTATTTCCCCCTTATGAAGTATCCAAGAGTTGCTGGCTACTTGCCACACCATATAGTGCTGTCAGGAGGTTTAGGCCATCTAAGGGTAGAGGTCTTTTCACACAATCTGGTGTTCAATTTTTCCTCTTGCTTTCAACAAGCTGCTTGAAGATCTAACAATACCTTTGGGAATACAGAAAGCAACTTGCACCATGACTTGCAGTGACCTTATTTGTGCGGTGTTAGGTCATCGCATTGTGAGCAGGCAATGCCAGGTCATACTGGTCTCAGTTCTTGATCCATCTCATAGAGATGAAGTTTTAATGTTTTCAGCTGATTTAGGGGTGAGTCCTTTTTACTAAAAGTCTGAGAAATCTAATATGTTTTAGTCAAACATAGAACTAGTTAATCACGGATTCTCACTGGTTAATCATGCTTTGTTTCAGAAGTGTAATTAACGTATTTTCTTAATAAGATATTTTAAAAGATGTCACATCTAGCTTCTATCTTGCCAAGTGACCGCAGTGGTATGTTGAAATTGTGTTACTCAATATACATGTAGTCGGAAGCATTTTGTAGTTAAAACAAAATTAACCTGTAATAGTTCCATTTGTAGAAACTCTTGAGAATGGCTGTCATAACTAGTTTACTATCAGAGTGCAAAAATACTGATCTTTAAATGCTTTTATATGATGATGTTACACAGTGTTGTACTTGCTGATTTTTTTTTTGTTTGTTTAAATGTGCACAAGATTTTTAAATGTGTGTTGAGGTGTTGTGAAAAGATATTAAAAATCACTTTATGAGGAGGTGATAGTTGGATGCATTAAAAAAAAAAACAACCAAAACAGCCAGCCACACAGCAATCTCTTTGTATCTATCCAAGAAGCACAGCTTCCCCCTACTGCCTCAGCTGCTTAGTGTAAGTTACGTTAGAAAACTTAATTGACTACTTCTGGAAAAGGTATCAGCTTGGCAGTAAGAGGACATATGCTGAGACATTTTAATCTTTCTTTTTATTAGAAAGCAAGGTTCATAAAATGTGGTCACCCCCTCCTCTCCGGGCCCCCCCCCCCCCTTTTTTTTTTAATCCTAAGTGGTTACTTTCCAAGTATTCTGTGGTCTCAGTTCTTGGAAAAAAAACATTTGTTCGCGCCTAGCAGAAGAAGATCTCTGTCCAACTTGAAGGTGCTGGGACAGCAGTATTGAGAATATTACTGTATAACTTGCCCTGCTTGACACTGACTTTTTATTCTTCTCTTATGTAAACATGATGTATGATAAGTGGAGTATCACTAATTGATGGGAAATGTGGTTCATTTAATGAGCACAAAATATAAGTTGTAATAGTGGAATAAATGGAGAGCAATGACAAGAATAGTTTTTAAAAGTGTGTGTATATGCATATTGTGTGTATACATTTATTCATAACATATGCTTGCAACGGGAAAAGGGAAATTCCTGCTTAAATTCATAAAACTGGGTCTTTTCTTACTAGAAATGATCAAAAATCGCACTGGTTTCTCCACAATTGTATAAATATCTCAGTTTTTGCCTGAGTTGTACTTAACTGAAAAAAATGCAATTGTGCATGTAGAGTCTGTCATTAAAAATGCTTTAGGCAAGATCTGTGATATTAAACTAAACTCTGCCTGGACTTTTCTGTGGCCCTGAAGCCAAGTGCCTTGGTCAGGCTATGTCTGTGCTAGTAAGCCGTCTTGGACTCGAAAACTGCGAGGCCACATTTGAAAACTGCCTTTTGGGAACAGTCCTTGAACTGGCCTAGCTCCCAAAATGTTGTCTGGGTGTCCCATCCACTGTTTAATTTATTATATGTAGACACTGCCTGTTTTCCCTAAGGAACCTCAGGTTCTTGTAGCTTCCATCTTAAACCAATGAAAAGCTAATCATATGCTTCTGCAGTACTTAAACCAATGTTTAAAATAGCTTTTCCATTATAAACCTGACTTCAGCATCAGTTTGCTTTCACTGACTTTCAACCATACTTGCAAAATAAAACCCTTCTCTGGATTTTAAGTTCTTACTTCATCTCTTTAAAAGGAACATCTTTTCTGAATCTCTCTCATAATGCATTTATTTAAAAACTCTTCAGTTATTTCCTTATTTACTTTTCAGATTATGTCCACATCAAGATAGCTGTCAGATTTCAAAATGTTTTGGGATTTGAATGGCATCTTGTTGCTGAACTTAGGCAATAAAGCAGAATACTTTCTTTTTTTCTTTTGTACAGGTGGAGGGCAGGGGAAAAAAAAATTGGAAAATTGGGCCTGGGGGGGAACCCAAGCAGAGATGTTTAAACAGTTTTTTGAAAGTATTAAGTTTCAAATGTAGATAAGAATTTGGAGGTTCTTCTGGGCTTTTAAAAATAATCTGTTCCTCTTCTCAAATCTGGATGGAACAGCTGCTGAACTGAGCCAGATGGTGGATAGGAGAAAGGGATAGCTGGTAGTATAAAACCCTGGGAAGAAATATGTAGAGGACAGTGAAGAAAGGTGTTTAAAAAGAAAAAGAGGCGGATGTGAAAAGGGACAAGGCTGAGAAAGGAAAAGCCACACCTCATAGTATCTGCTGCTACAGAGCTTGCATTATGTACATGTACATAGGCAGCAAGGGCCATTGTACCTTACTGGTGTGATTTATAGTTGCGTATTGATACTTGTTTGCTTTACAGATGTAAATCATGTAACCTTTTCTTGTGCAAAGCAAAGTGTTAAGTGTATGAGCTGAAGAGGCTTTTGGTTAAGTTACTATCTTGTAACAATGCAAACTGGCTTAAAAATTGTAAATACCTGATTACTGTCTCTGAAATACAGTTGTGGTATTCTTACTTTATAACAGGACAATGGCTAGTGTATTCAGAGGCTGGTTTTTGCTATTGAAAGCAATTTATTTGAGTAACTTAGGGCAAGACGGGCACCTTCGTGCACCTGTGTGAGGACGCTTTAGGACCTGGGCCCTATACTGATTTGTTGTCTTCAAGGAGCATAGAAAGGAGCGAGGAATGGATACAATCATAGCACTTAATTACTGTCCTGGACCGGACAAGGCAGGAATAGTTACTGTGACCTGTGTCTGAGCCTTTTCAAGGCTACTTGCAATTTACGTACCACACCTTGTGCGGAATCATCTCGCAGTCACAGTCTGGTGCTTGAGCAATATGTGGTGTTCCAAATTATGCCATATGTTCTTAAGGTAGTTTCTGTAAGTGCTGGATTGTCATTATAAGCATGCATCAACATAGTCTGTGAGAAAAAATAGTTCTCTGGCTGAATAAATAATATGCAAATAAAATGGTGTGTCTCATACCTAACCAAAATGCTGCATCTATGATCCCAATCCTATTTACCCAAGAATAATGTAAATTCTCGCAGCCAAAGTTCATTTGACCACAGAACTTTACAGAATTCCTGCGGATAACAAATTGGTGTCTTGCAGGCGGTGTTTGTGTCTTTAAAGTGGGACGCTCCTACTGAATAAACTCAAAGAAAACATTTATACAGAAATAATTTTCTCAGCTAGTAATTTTCTGTATTTCTGCTTTTGGAAGCTACTATGTTTTCGTTAAAATTTTATCCCTTATGGCTCTGTTTCGGTTTCCCCATGATTTTTTCAGGGCACGTATAACACTGACTGTAGAAAAGAAATTATTGCAGTGTAATACATTATTGTTATTGTAGAAAGATGTCCTCATTTTATATAAATTTATTCCTGGCAGCTTAGGAGACCTGCAAAGAACCGGAGGTGCTGACAGTTCCTGTCCTGTTTAGATCGTCAGTTTTATGTTCTTATGGTATCTTTCATAAGCCATTTTCAGAAATGTAATTTTCATTTACAGGAAGCATTGGTTACAATTCGTCTTCTTGACGTTCTTTGTGAAATGACATCAAACAACGGACAGCTAGAACATCTACAGGCTTTGCCTGGTTTGCTTGAAACAGCCATAGGTGAGTGAAAAGCCACAAGGTGTATTAACTGTTGGCTTGCTCCAAGTCATGTTGCTCTGTAAATGAAAACATGTTTTTCACAACTGGTGGTAATTATGATTCTGACCTTTTAATAAAATAAGTAAATAGGAGATTGGGTTAATCTACATTTTCAAATATTTGATTTGTTCCTGGAATTTTTCTGCTTCTCTGCTTGCTCTCTTGGCTCCTATTACTCAACAGAGCCTTGATTCAACTGTCAGCAATGCACTATTTATACAGTAAGAGTTGTGCAAAGGACAGCTGCTTGCTATGTTCTTCCACTGGCTGAATGTGTGTGGAAGAATTTCCTCAAGAAGTAGAAAAAGGACTTTTCCGTGCCTGTTCCCTTCGGTTTCCCAAATTCCTGAAAACTGAAACTAAGTACAGTTTGAATGTTCTTAACCAAATTCAATGACTTTTAAAGGTCAGTTTGAAAGAAGCTTTCTTCTGCTAAGAAACAGCAAGTGAATGTACACAAAGAAAATTAAGCCAGGATGGTCCAGAGAGACCCTATATACTTGGGGAAGAAGGAGGAAGTATACATATATTGACCTGTGCCTTCCTAAATCCTAGCACTTTCTGAGGCTGAAACAGCTGTTTAACTGTGACTATTTTGAGATGTTTAGAGGGTCCTTGCTGTTAAAAGAACCCAAATAAACAAAAAACCCACACAAACAAAACAACAAAAAAACTCCACCAAAACACAATGAACAAAATGGGGGAAAAAAAAAAACCAACAACAAACCAGAAAAACAACCAAACCTCTATTTTTGATGGCAGGTTCATAGTTTTGTTGCTTACATTAAGATGGCTGACAACAAGATCTATTTTGTCCATATGTATGTGTTTTGAGGAAGCTCAAAGTTATGCCATGTATCATCTGGATGCTTGTATAAGTCTTTCAGCTTAAACAAGAATTTCAAGGAACTGCAGATCAGTAAAGTTTAGAAGCCCGTGGGCCAGTCCTCCTTTCTCTGGCTGTGCGCAGATAGACTTTTCTCAGCATCTGTCTCCAGGCTAGTGAAATGGGTGCAGACTAGAACATTGCTACCATGTGCATCCTATGTATTTCTCACATGCCCTCAGCCAACAGGAATGTATCAACTCGTGGAGTTTCTTTTTAAGACTACCTTGTGGCTGCAAGACAACTTTAATCCTGGATTAGCAAAAAGGGCAAAAAACTGGGTTGATGTGTTACGTCACCTTCAGTATTTAGTTGTGAAGACCAGAAGAATAAGAATAGGTAGTGCAAAAGATTTTCATCTAGTAGTTCTTTTGATGAAGCAATTCTTCTCTTCACTTTATGTAAGGAGAAATTTCCTATTGGAAATTACAAAAAGATTGATTCAAAGATCTGAAAGATATCTGAGTGATCTTTTAAGTATCAACTAAGGAGGATGTGTTGCTGTTTTTAGTAATTGTTGGATTAAGTTAGACAGTAATACTGCAGTGTTAGTAATACCTTTAGCACTGTAAATAGCTTGATTGCACAGTGTTTGGGGAGTATCACCAGGGAGGTAAATGGTCTTTTGGATTGAGGGGCATTTAGGAAGAATTACTCTTTGGGACAATGAGAGAATGGCAGATTGAGGTGTCCTTAGTTGACATCCCGGGAGCAGTTGCTGCGTTGTGTTGATGTGCACTGTTTGAGAGAAACCTTTTTCTCTCTGACTTGGCATCATGCATGGAAGGTGACTGTTTTTCTTCCACCTTTCCTGTACTTCTCTTTCCAAGTACGTGCACTGCTTGTTGCATCATTTTTGTCTGCACTGTAATAAAATTTAGAGTTTTGTTTGCTTTTTTTGGTTTGTTTTTTTTTATTATTTTTTGGTTTTAATCCTTTCATTCAGGGGTCCCTCTTAAGGGCAGGCAGAAGGTTTGGGAAGACCATGGAATTCCCTTCTAGGTGTTTGTGTGTGGGGAAAATGCTAAGACTTAGAAGGCAAGGAAGCCCACAAAATGAAATGCCGTGAGAAGGAGATGACACTGCTGATTTTTATGAATTTACAAAACCAAACAAATTTCTTAGAAAAAAGATTGTGTTAAAAGCTATTTTATTATGACATTTTTTAGGGGCAATCAGGAGATTGATTGTTTTTTCCTAGTTCAAAATATGAACGAATGTAAGTGGTAGGTTGTCATATGGAAGGCCTCTAGGCCCTATTATAGTTTTGTATTTTAAAAAAAACTACCAAAAATATGGTTACCTCTTTATAAGCACAGCGATTTTTTTCTTTTTTTTTTTTTTCTTCTTTCCCCTTTCCCTGTATCAGCCATCTGGGAGTGAAACTATAATATGAGGACCTATGAAGTTTCTTCTGATTTAAATCCAGGAAATCTAGTGCCCATTCCACTATGGATGTTGTCGCATCTAGAGCAGAAGGAGCATAGGGCTTAATGACTGCCCTATGCTATAACCTGGTTTTGCTACATCTTTATTGTTCCAGTGTGAGTTGTGTGAAGCATCTTGGGGACAATGGCATGCCAGGGCATTTATTAGTATTGCAGATTGCTTAGAGGAGAAACAGTTCTTAATTTTTAAATATAGGTGCAGCCTTTAGTGAATTGCCTTCTCAGCTGTATGAGCTCTCAGGTGTTCACATGATTTTGTCTTTTGTTCTGGGTGTGGTCTCCTTGTGGAATGTTGTTTTCACAGATTTTAGTTTCCCTTCTCCCCGATTTCTCTCTGCAGGAACATTAGTATTTCTTAGTTGACAAGATTATGTGGCACTGAAGGATTTGTAAAGATGTGTCAAGGTGCTAGATGTACTTGAAATCTTTTGTTATACTACAGAGCTAGGAACAGACTGGAGAAGAGAGAAAAAAGTAATTGTGTGATTAGTGTGTGTTGCTGTGACAAGTTTGAACTAAAGAAAGCTTTCTAAAAAACTTGGTTTTAGCAATATATTTACGGTACTGGAATCATCAACAGCCTACAAATTCTGATTCTTCAAGTAGAAAGTGATAGCACCATCCTTCAGACTTCATGTCTGAACTATGTAAGTGCGTAAAAAGAACACAAATACACCTTCTGACCTTGGGATGGCCTTTTATGCTTATTCTAGCACAAATTAAGAAATTAAGAAAACCTTCAAAATTCTTTTGATGTATTGCTGAATATCTGAAATTATATTGATTAACTTTGAATCTAACAATTAGTAATAAAGCTCTGTGCAAAGTGATACTAATTTTCATGTAGTAATTAAAATATTCTTGTTTTCTGTAGATACCCTGAGATTAACTCATCTTGCTGGGAAACAGACTGTAAATATTTTCACTGCCACACATGCTATGACAGAACAGGAAGAAATTTCACATCCAGCTGTGGGTTTTAAATCTCATCTCATTCGTTTGATTGGAAATTTGTGTTACAAAAATAAGGAAAACCAAGACAAGGTAAGTTTATACATTTTTCTGGCAGAACTCTGACATGTGAACAGATGTGTATGCCAGAGCATGACTTTACTGATGAAAACATATTGTTGATCTACAAATAGAGGTTAGAATTGGTCATCTAAAGAAGGTAAAATTATTTTTTTTAGTGTCTTTGAGGTACTATTACAGGTATGCTAACTTTTTAATAACAATGTAATATGTGCCTCTCTACGTTTTACTTCTGTCCTGTTGTAGGCACTGGCTTGCATTCTTTATTCTTTTCACATTTGCACTTTCTTGGAAAAGATAATGTCTGAGATTAAACCTCAGCTTCACTTTGAAGGGAAATGGATGGGAATTGTTGCATGAACTTAATTTTAAATCTTTGAATTAGTCTATAATGTTTTTTCCCTCCCCCTGCCTTAAATTTTTTCATGCCACTTTAAAAATGTAAATCTGCTTCCATCAAATCACTTTGAACTCTATCTTTAGGATTCCTGTATGGAAAATTAGTTTTGTTTCCACAATGAGGAAAAAGAGGAAACAGCAGCATGTTTTTAAATATGAAACCTTTTTTTCTTAGAGTGATAAAAGATGTGTGTTTCCCCCAGGACTTGTTAGACTAACCTATTTTAAGCAAGAAAAGCAGTCATGAAGTAATGCTGTCTTACGGTTCATCTGAGCACTTCCAAAAATCAAGTAGGTTACTTTTCTCATTTGGTCTAAGCAACCACGTAGTGTATTACAGTAGCCTCAGCTTAGTGAAAGCTTTCTGTTTCTCCGGTTCTTCCTTGTAGAGAAACCCTCTGTTTATTCCCCTGTCTTCCTTTTCTCTTAGAAGTGTCTTTTCTTGTGGCAGCCATTTCCTGGAGGGAAATGGTCAGGAGATAATGGAGGATTGTTGCTTTTCTCTTATGTTGTCAAATGAGACCTATGTCAGCAAGTACCAAAAATACAGTAATTAATAGTGGTTACTCTGCAGGAAGTTACATATGATGACATACTCTGAGTCTAATTCTGTATTGCCAAGGAGCTATCGAGACATTGAGTACTGAAAAATCAATCTCTGTTAGAAGCTTCTGTTTCCTAAATTATTTTTCTTTTGGTGATTACTTCATTTTACAAAGATAAGAGATTCTTTTGTACTGATGCCATCAACTGCGTCTGTGTCTACAAAGTTAGACTTTTACAATGGCAGCAAGGCATTTTCGTAGTATATGAGAGATGTTCCATTTCCTTAGACTTTTTCTACAGCGTTTAGAAATGGAGAATCTGAGGAATTCTATCCTCTTCGTCTGACAAATGCTAATAATATGGGCATATAGATGGAAAATACAGTAATGATCTTCCCTTTTCCCATTTATATTACAGTATATGATAAAAGATTTTAATATTTCTGAAAAATATTAATAATCCTATTAATCACTCTTGCATAGCTCTGTCTCTGACCTGTTATGATGTAATATGTGTTTATGTAAGTGAAATACATTTTTGTGGAATACCTTATGATAGTGGAGTGGAAGGGGTTGCTTTCATTTTGAAAGGGTTGATTTACTGCTTATTGTTCATTTTTGCTGGGATTTTCAGAGAACCCTGGAGCAATTAGGCATGCAGGCTTAGTGTTTTCAGTTGAAGTTGGGTATTAACTTGCCTTAAATTGCCTGCAAATAGTATTGCTTTATGCTGTCTTGAAAATTACTTAGATGCTTGTGTGTGATATCATGGAATGTTATTTAAGTGCCGTTGAAACTTTAGAAACGCCAATAGTATGATATCCTGTCTATACCTTCAGTTTATTTCATAATTTAAATTGGTTCTAATAAATGGACTGGTCATTTTTAAGGCACTTTCCATACATAAACACGTGCTTGAGAGGATGGGGCGAGCAGCCCGTATCATTGCACAGGTAAGAAAACTGAAGTTTTGAGATGAGAGTGAATTGTTCAAAGTGGTGCGTGGGTCAGACCTAGAACTGAATGGAAACAGGGTTAGTTCCTGGGTTCTCCCACCTCTTTTCAGAGCAGTATCTTACAATATAGGTCTTATTTTCTGTCCGTTATTGGGTTTACACAGAGTTCACTTCCTATATTCAGTTAAAAGTAATGTAATACAGGGTAGATTGTGGTTTTTAGATGTGTTGGTCAGTTGCCTTGTTATATGAGAGACCTAGGGCTTTACCATCGACTGGTGCTTTTGTGTGACTTTTTGGTGTGACTTACCCTGTGAATTGTAGGCACCAGCTGGGGAACTGGCTTTCTTCTCAGTCAGTTTAGCTGGTTGCCTGGCACGAGAGGGATGCACAGCAGTTACAAAAGGCTCTTGAACAGCACTGTTAGTATTCTGACTCTTTAATGAACTGAGGCTTTCACACTTGGTTTCTTTTAATATTTTGCTGTGATTTCCAGTCCCAGTAGAGCTCTTTTCCCAGTAACAATGACAATGCATTGGTAAATGGAGTAATAGCACACTGCTAATAATAATAAAAAATATAGACCCTATTTTAATAATACAACCTTAGTGCTTGGTGTTGGTCTGTCTGACTTGTTCTGAAAGCATATTTAGTCCCCAAACACCTGAGGCTCAGATGGCGACTTGGGCTAAGCCCTCCAAGTGGATGGAGTTGCATCACTGGTTCAGGAGCCTCTTCAAGAGTGGTGTGACAATGGCAACCTGCTTGTTCTCCGGGAGGTGGGTCTTGAGCCAGCCCGTGCCCCAGGCAGTGCATGTCTCCTGACGTACGATGTGCAGTCCCACTGCACAAGGCACTAGTTAGTGACAGAGTGAAAGCAACAGAGAATGCCTGGAGTTGGGAGGGTAATTGCTCTGCAAAGGCTGCTTCTCCATCTCTGTTTATGGTCTCCACCTGCTGTAAGAACAATAACTGCAGGGGGATTAGTGCATTGATGTGTTGGCAGTGGTGAAAAAATCTTGTAATGCTTTGGAACAGAGAAATATCTTACTAGTGCTTTATTGCTTCTTCGCTTTCTGTTTAAAATTATTCTTTGTTTTTAAAAAGCATTCTTTAGCTTGTACTCTGTTAGCATTAGGAATGCATCCTTTACATCTTTTCTTCCTCATAGTTTTATTTACACTATTGTGATCAGCTCTTAAGATACAAGGGAGCAGGCAGACATTTAAGCCGTAAACTGAGATGCAGTTATTAAAATGGGTCTTGTCAGGCTTACTGCCCACTCGCATGTTTTGCGAGGCTGAATGGGTTGGTATTTGTATGAAAAGCGTTTGATAAAATGTTCATTTTGGACTGATTAGTGTTGGGTACATGCATGTCCCGAGTTGCACACACCCTTGCGTGAAGAGGAGAGAAGAAGAAACAAAAGTGCTGGATTTAGGACACCAAGTGTTGAGCTAGTTCTGTGTAGAACCTGCCAAGAGCCTGCAAGGGATGCGCAGTTCTCCTGTGCTTTCTGTCTCTATGGGAGGAAGAGCTGTCAAGACTTATTGTCATACATGTGTGGCAGTCTTGTGGCTTGTATCTTGTTATGTCTCCATCACAAAGATGCATTGTATGTTTTTATTAAATATACTGGAAGGAAGGAGGTGGGTTCTCAGGGTGAGCAAGGAGTGGAGGTGTTGGCTGGTAGTTGATGAATGAAGTTATCAGAAGGAAAAAGTGAAAATTCCTCCCTACTCCCCACAGCTTGTTTGACTTCTAAACACCTCAGTTATGTCATCCGGACAGAATTTAGACTGTTTTCTTGGTGTGAGGCTTTAGGCACTTATTTTTCACTCTCACTTTTAAAGCTATGAAGTGATGGAGTTGCTGGTTTAGTATAGTAGAACTGTTTTAATAAAGAATAAAAAATGAAAGAAACCTAATGAATGAAGTATAGAGGATATAATCCTTTATTGTAGAAATGAAACAAATACGAAATAGGTCATAGCAATTAATCTGAACCCCTATTTCTTTCTTTGTTTACAAGAATACGTACTGGAAGGTGAGATGATTGATCTCTGCCTTACATGACAGATAGCACTGCCCCGCACAACTTTATTACCTTTCCCTAAAACTGTTGTTTATGTTGCGAGGTGTTTATGCAGTATGACTTGTTTAAAATACTTGATTTAATTGCAAGTGTCATCAGTACTTGAATAAGCAACGGAATAATATAGACCTTATTCTGCATTGTTTCCCTTCCTCTCTTGTAAAGAGAGGATTTACATAGACTCCAATCACATAACCTTGCTGGAGTTAGTAAGTAGGGAATTGAAAGGAAGTAGAAAGCCTGACAAAGTTTAATTGCAGTCTTTATTCACTATTCGCTTTAGTTCACTGTTACCTCTGAGATCAAACGGGGGAATCTGAATTGCCTGGGGGGGGGTTGTCCTGTCAAAACTGTTACCGAAGGATGCAGCGTTGTCTGGAACAACGAGATGCAAGACATGAGCTGTGTTCCTTGCAACCAGGGAGCAGCCAGCTGACAAGAACATTGACATGCTGAGATCATGCTATACTGTTGCCTTTTGAGAGGGATCCTGAAGAGAAGAATTGTGACGCTTCTGAATGCAAAGTTAAGCCTAACTTAGTAAGAACAAAGCACATAGCTTGGGTTTGGTGCTATAATCTGGTTGCATTGGCTTTGCCATCTTTAACTGACTCTTGTTACTGATAGGATAGGTAGTTTATTGCTACCTGCTTACTTTGTCTAGCAATACAGTTAGTATGCTGAACAGTTTTATACACACTGAGAGATCTCTGTCCCCTGCAGAATAGTAAATACACACAAGTATATTTTTGAGGTGTCTCTTTTTCTTAGTCAGACTGTTAAAAGCAAAACTGATCCCCTCAGGTAGAGAAAACAATCCATACCCTTATGACAAGGACATTTTAGATACGGGGGTTGCTGATGGACCCAGTGATAGGACATTAATTTCGGAATGTGTGTGTTTCATTGTTAAAGTTGTTCTGTTGTTTATGTAGGAGAAAAAATTTTAAATACAGAGTTGTCTTTGGTACTGGCACCTTCTTACCTAAATGGAATCGCTCTGGTGAGGTGAACAAT